GTGTGGGAGAAATGGAATCTGCTGAAATGTTGGGCATCTTGTAGGAGTCCCAGAACATTAACTGCAGACCTGGTTTACTGGAAACTTCTGATAGTGCAGTAAGTGTGAGGTGGAGAGGAGGGTGGGGAGGGAACCAGACAAGATGTTTTGTAGCAGCTAGATTCCTTGTAGTATAGTGTAGTAAAGAACGGCTTTAGCTCTTGAGCTGTTAGTAAAGTGGGTCATGAGCATGGATGTTGGGAAATCCTTTGGGAATTAGATGGACAAGCCTCCTTTTTCCTCTTCAGCTGTTTGTGCTTTTGCTTGGCAAGATTAAATTACACCTAGGACATCTTGTAGAAGTGATGAAAGTCACATTAGGGAGGGATGGAAACAGGGCACCTGCAGCCCTGGGGGGTGAGTTTACCTGCCCCCTGGTGGACACTGGTGCTGGTGGCGGCTTGAGTCTGGATGTGGCTGAGAAGCCTTCCCACCCAGTGCTCCAGGCAGTCCCTTGGGGCAGGCGGACACCAGCCCCTGTCACCTCTTTCTTGGCTGCCAAGTCACCGTGTGACCTGCTTCCCCACAGGGCATGCCAAGTGATCAAGGAGTTTTCTCCACCAAGTTGAGCTAAGGCTTGGCATTGTTTTATGTCCTCAGTGAATGCTGAGGGGAGCTGGGGCCTGGCTCTTCAGGCCTGTCTGTGCCGGTGAGCCCAGGGCCAGGTTGGCAAAGACGTCTACCCCTGCCTGGCCCCAGACTCTGCCGTTCTGATTGGTGTGGTCTCCTCATATTGGAAGTGTCTAGAATGTGCTGTGCCTGGTGGATGTGGGGCAAGCTTCCCCTCTCCCCGCATCCCCACTTTGTCCTTTTCAAAAGAGGTAGGGCTTTCCAGAGTCTCTTGTACACACTGCTCTCTCAATTACACGTTTTATTTGAAACGCAAGGTACGGCTTGAGAACACCTTCGCCTGGAACAACCTCAGTCATTACTGAAGTGCTTCTAGAAGTCTCTTGACAGAATTAATTAAAAATAAAAGGAGGTGAAGAAATTTAACCCAGATTTAGTCATTATTCCTGGAGTTTTGATTTCATAATTACAAGTGTAGAATATTGATATAAGTGAGGCTTTAAAGATCACTAATGAAAGGAAGATAGTAAGTGGCCACAAATATGTAATTAGAGGCTGATGAGAAACAACGGCTTGATGATATGAACGTGGATTCTCCTCGGTGGTTGGGATACTATTTTCAATGACACCGTCTGACATAAATTCACAAGGAGCTGTATCGAGCATCTGAAATGGAGGACAAGGATGATGTGTTCCGGAAACCGGCTCTGGATGTTTCAGCTCGGGTTGATAAAGGCACTAATGGGGCACATGCACGCGCAACGTTCCAAAAGATACCATTTTGTAAGCTGTATGTGGGACAAATAGTCCTTTAATAGGATTTTAATATTGAGTATTTATATATAAATACATTCATGAAAGTTACAGATGGTGATTTGATTTTTTAATCTAAGTCCCCCCAAATTGTATAGACAAGTTTTGCAAACCCAACCATTGTCTTAGATCTTCTCATTGGCCAGTTGCCTTCCACAGGAGAGTTACTTTATATCCCTCCTGGTTTTCCAGGTTATGTGGTTATTCTTCCTGCAGCCCCTGAGGGTGGGATTTGAGAGTAGGGGGGAGGGGTGGGCGGGGTCACCTCTTCTCTGCCTTCCCCCCACCCTTTTTACCTTCCATCTCTCTTGCCTCACTGCCCCCTGCTGGGGACCAGACCCCAGGCTGGGGGCTTTCCAGTGTGCCCGACTCTGACCCTGCCCTTGGAAGGTCACGGTTTGCAAACTGGTTTTAGACATTGGGAGGCCTGGGTGTTTTGATTCATACTTGCAGTGTCTGTGGTTTGTTTCTTGCTATCGGTTCATGGAACATATTAATTTATCTTTAAGTAGATTTATTAAATGAAATATTCATGGGAGCGGGTGCTTCAGTGGGCAGCATTTGGAACAGTGTGCTGAGTACAGTTTGTCCTCCTAAATCTATTAATGCTGATAGGATGTCATTGTCTCCTGTGAAGCTGCGGGGTGAGCTGGGGGCCTAGGCAGGGGACTGAGCTGGCCGCTGGAAGCTGTCTCGCTCAGCTCGACTCTGGCAGGCTCTGTTCTGAGCAGTCCGTGTGTGTGTGTGTGTGTGTGTGTGTGTGTGTGTACGTATCCATTCTCTGTCTTCCTTTTTAATGAATACAGCAGCTTCCATTTCTGAGAGAGCCCTCTTGTCAGCTTCCAGCTTCTTGTCTAATTCCCGCTTGCAGCCACGGCTTGGAGGTGTAATGGGGCTCAGAGGGAAAAGCTGGCTTATAAGTGAAGACTGATCCGCGAGGAGAAGCGATTCAGGGGACTGAGGATGGGGACAGGGGGCAGAATGCTAATACTCAGGAATAAGCACAGCATGACAGTCCCTGAACTGGGCACTTTGTCTCCTGCTCCTGGGTGGTCCTAAAAGCCACAATTGGAGGTGGATGTTACCATTTCTGTATTTGAGGCTCAGGTTGGTTTAGTAACTTCATTACTAATTTAGTAAGTTCATTTAGTTCCACAGACCTCTGTGGAGGCCTGTCCCAGGGCCAGGGGCTGGGCACGGGGCACAGAGCCGCCATCGCATCAGGCCTTGGTGAAGGCCCCATCTAGCAGATACAGAAACAGGCTTGTGGAGGAGCCGGACAGGGAAGCGGAGCCTCCCTCTGTGTGCTGGAGGGTGCCGAGGAGGGTGTGACGAATTGTGGGAGGCTGAGTCCAGGGCCATCCGAGCCAGGCTGGGAGACTGGATAGGAGTTTACCAGACACGTGGGGGCTGGGAGGAGTTCCCTATGGTGCAAAGAGCAGGTCCAAACATACAAGGATCTAGGACAGGGTGGGGACGATGGCCTGGTTCAGTTCTGCTCAATCGCCAGAGGAGGGAGGGTGCTGGGTGCCCGAAGCCTTGCTGGGGAGTTTGGACTGTGACTGATGGCAGTGAGCCATTGGAGGTTTTGAAGCCAAGAAGAGGGAGAATGGAAGCTGGGTATTTGGACAGTTATTCGAGAGGCACTGCAGAGGCTGGTTTGGAGGGGATGGGGAGGAGGTGGGAAACCTAGGACTTGGGGTGCTCAGGCAGCCAGGAAGTCACCGGGGTGAGGTGAGGGGAGCATGGGGGGTCTAGGAGGTAAAAGGCATAATTTGGCATCTGTATTGAGGAATACCAGAACTGGTTGAGAAGTCATGAAAAAGAAAACATCAAAGAAAGGAGTCAGGAAAAGGATAAAGGGAAGTAGCTCATTAGAGAAACGTGAATACATTTGAAAAAGACAAAGAGTTACAAGAACGAGGACCCTAACACAATTGAAAAGTTTCTCCAAGTGTAGTGGTGTTTCTGAAATCTAAGCAGATGGAAAGGGAAAAGCAAACACTTAAGTGAGGGAAGACAAAAATAGGTTTGCTGCCAAAAGCAGAACCTAAAGTCGGGAGAAGCGGACGGGGCAGTGGGCCCCCACTGCGGGGCCGGGAGAGCTGGTTCTACTGGGGACCTGATGGCTGAAGGCTCTGGGGGCACAGTCTGAGTGGGAGATGTGCTGAGACGGACGAGGAAAGGACAGAGGTAGATGGGAGGCTGGCTCCTACCTGCTTGAGGATCTCGGGGCCCTGCCCACACGGGGCTTTCCTACAGCCGGCAGAGCCCCTGTGACCAGGTGAGCAAGCCAGTCAGGGGAGCCGCAGGGCCTCTCCCTTCACTCTTGCTGTCCTGGAGTCCCCATGGTGAGGGCTGAGCAGCACACGGCCTCCTCGCAGGCTTGTCCTGTCCTGTGAGCTGCCAGGGAAGAAGGGAAGTTGAGGGGGTCATCAGCAGATCTCTTGTGAGGGCTGAGGTTGGAGGAGGATGAACATCTAGCCTTCGGGCCTGGGCTGTATATACTGAGTGCCTCTGGTGTGCAGTGAAGTGTTTTAGGTGTCGGGGGTGGGGCGCACGGAGCAACAGAGAAAATTCGCAAGACCTACGGGAACACAGTGCATGGAAATTTGGTAGCTGCACAGGGGATGAATTCAAAACTGGGGATAACGTCAAACCAGGAAAACCAGCTCTCTATATAGAGTCCTGTTAGTCATCTTACCCATTCTATTTGCCGCTTATGCTGCTTGGGGTTGCTGTTAAGAAAGAGGATGCGTTTATACCTGAAAGAGCGCGGACTTGGAATCTAGAGACCAGGGTTCAAGTTCTGGCCCTGCTGCTCAGTAGCTTTGTGACCTTGGAAAAGCATAACCTCTTTGAGCATCTGCTTTCTCACTTGTAATTGTGATAACTGATAATCATAATAGAGCTCTGCGAGGGACGGCTGGCTCACTGAAGTCCCAAGTTGTCATGGGTATCCATGTGTGGGAAAGCGTTTCATACCGTGCAGTGCTCTGTTCAGTAGCTGCTGACCTTCCTAGATCCTAATTGCTTTGCAGGAAGTGGTGCCTGGTTAGTCGTCTCGCTCTCACAGCATCTCCAGAGTGTCTGGGGCCCTCAGGACATGCTGGTGGAATTGTTGCATGAGTCCGCTGTGACACTCTGTGTTCCACGGCCATCTTCTGGGGGTCCTCTCCCTGTCCACACTGGTGGACGGGAAGGTGGGGCATTGGACACATGGAGTGGCCCCTGGGAGTGGCGATGCCTGGCCAGCACCAGCCGCCCGGCCTGAATCTCAGTGCCAGACATTGGCATGTGGCTTCAGTTTCCAGGTGGCCTGGTTTGGAGTTCAGAAGCAGAAAGCAGACTGGGGAGGGCTCCCACACCTCTTCCACTGTGCGCACCCCCGACATGCATGGGGACACAGCTCTCACCCACGGGGCCCTGTCCTTACAGGCAAGCCTTAGCCGACTCCCTGTGGTTCCTCATTTCCATAGCTCCAGCCTGGGCCGTGCTACCCGTGGCCCTGGAGGGGCGTATGCTGGGGGTCTCCGTGGGTCTGCTCACTCCTGCGGTTTCCTCGTGTCCTGCTGCAGGTTGTCTTCCACGACGTGGGTGTGCTGACGGACAAGCTCTTCCCAGTGGTGGAGGCCATGCAGAAGCACTTCAGTGCTGGCTCGGGGACCTACTACAGCGACTCCATCTTCTTCCTCTCGGTCGCCATGCACCAGATTATGCCCAAAGGTAACCTGGACGCAGGCCCCTAGCCCTGGTTTCGGACTTTCGTGTCTCTTCCCCTGGCTCCAAAGCGGCTGGTGCCCTGAATCAGGGAGAAGAGCTCCACTGAGACACGAGGGAGAGGGCCAGTTACAGCCTTTGTGTCATAGCTCTCTGCCCAAAGACTCAAGGACATGGCCCTGGGGGGCACAGCTGCTGTGCCCCACTCACGAGGACAGTGGGACTTGTGCAGTGTGCTGTCCCCAGACTCAAGCAGGGCATCTGGGCTCCAGGCTTGACCTAGCGCCTGCACACACCCCAACCCCCAGGACTCAGTTTGCTCATCTATCTGTAAAGTGGCAGGTTAGGCTAGGGGAATTTCCGTTCAGATCTGTGATCCCATTCTATAGTTTGTACCTGGACTTATCTGACTTTAAGATATCCAATCTACATGTGAGAGGTGCAAATTAGAACTCAGAGGTTTTTTTTTTTTTTTTTTTTTTAAAGATTTTAAAAATTTATTTGACACAGAGAGAGAGAGAGAGAGAGAGAGAGAGCGCGAGAGAGGGAATATAAGCAGGGAGAGTGGGAGAGGGAGAAGCAGGCTTCCCGCTGAGCAGAGAGCCCCATGCGGGAGGGACCTCAATCCCAGGACCCTGATTATGACCTGAGCTGAAGGCAGACGCTTAATGACTGAGCTACCCAGGTGTGCCATAACTCAGAATTTTCTGAAACTTTGATGCACAACCAGAGGATTTTCTGGGCTTTGGTCCTTCTGGGCCAGAAGAGATTGATTGTCTGGTCCATGATAGGTCAGACTTGTGTGGAAATGCTGGCAAGTCTGGTCATCCTTGGATTAGAACCCTTGGAGGTTTCTTGTTAGTGGGGTGTCCCAAGCTGCTGGGTTCTCTTCCTCCTAGCTATCCTTGATTAATTCTGGGGGGCTGGATATTCCTCCCAGTTTCAGGCCATGGTGAACCATGACCTGAGCCTTTTAGGGGTGTGGAGAGGAGTTCGGGGCTCTTGGGGTAGCTGGGACCTGAACTGTGACTGTTTTGGGGTTTCCAACAGTCAGACCAGGAAGAACCTGATCCCCCAGGGGACAGCTAGGCCATTTGGAGGAGACCTGCTGCTCCAGCCCAGCAGACCAGAAGTGAAAGAGAGGTCAGGAGCCCCGGTGTTGGAAGGGGCCTGTTAGCTGGGAATTCAGGTTGAACTGGGTTCCCCTTGGCAGTATGGTGTCCCTGGACGCCACAGGGAATGTTAGCCTGTGCGCTGTGGCTGCGACTCTGTCTCTGCGAGGCAAGTCCCCGAACCATGGAGGCCTCTGAATATTCTCTTGCTGGAAGGCCAGGGCTCAGGGAGATTTGCTGAGCAGGGCGGGGTCTGAAGGAGAGAGGGCGGCGCGGGGGAAGAGCTAGCATTTGTGCAGTCTGTGAGTTCACCGATTCTGCCCCCAGCGCTGTGCCGTCATAGCTGGGAGACCGAGGGGTGGGCTTGGCCAGGGTCAGACAGCCCTTTAAGCGGCAGGGCTGGGATTTGGGCCCCAGTCAGACTGAGTTGGAGGCCCGCTTCTCTAAACAGCAGCTGCTCTGTCCCCTCCAGAGTGCCGCGAGTGGTCCCTCTGGGTAGGACTGGCGCTGGTACCATGGGGAATGCAGATGGAAGGAGGGTGTTCCTGCTGTCCTGGGTTCTAGGGGGAGGCAGACATGGTGCTAGTCCCAGCCCTGCTACTAACCACTTGTGTGCCTTTGCTGAGCCACTTAGCCTCTCCAGGCCTCAGTTTCCCCACCTACCAAATGAGAAGCTGAAGGGTGCTGATCTAGTGAGCTATTTGGCTTGTATTTGGAAGAGCCCCGGCCTACAGGAATCCCCCTGTGGGTTTTGGCGGTCCTGGGGAGCTGAGGGAAGAGGGGTTCTACCTTTATTCTACCCCTTGCTCCTACCCCTCCCCCGCATCCAGCAGTCCTTCCTGATTACTGCATGGATGAAGCTTTGAAACAGGATTCTATGTGGTCAGAGGACTCCATGATTAAACTCATTTGAAGCATCTTGGTGAGAGGGGCCTTCAGGATCCGGCCAGTCTTGTCCTGCATGCATGATTAGTTCAGCGAAATGCTGTGAGGGAAGGACCCATGAGGGACAGCAGGAGATCTGGGAGGAGCTGTGCCCGACTTCCCCTCACTGCCTCCCTTCCCTCCCTCCTCCCTCATCAGCTGGTAGGTCACTTCCCAGCATGGGCTAAACTCCAGGCCAGGCCATGCTTTGGGGCCCCCAGAGGGAGGGGAAACACAGCTCCCTGGGGCTGGTGAAGGCAGAGAAGCTGGCTGTGCCTCGCAGCGCCAGGGGGAACCAGGCAGATGACGAGAGTTAGGGAGCCCCCAGACTGCCGTCCCTCTGCTCTCTGCCCTGCCTTGAAGCCTGGTCTTATCCCCGGGAGGGGTGGGCAGTGCCTGCTGGGATGAGGCTGTGGCCAGAGCTTTGCTGTCTTTGCAGTAGATCAGATGCTGGTGTCCCTCCAAGTGCGGTTCATGCCCCTGAGGGGCCTGTGTCCTGTGGGGAAGGAGGGGAGGTGCACAAACACTGAATCCTCTCTTGGGTTCTTCAGGCAAATGACAGTGTGTTGTGCCCAAAGTCCACTTCCTATGAAGAGAGTTCCTGAGAGTTACTAAAATCTGACGGCCATAACACAAAGCCAGCAGTCCTGGAGTTCCTGTGGGGCTGGGTGTCTCTGCTGAGCGGTCTGGCCGCCACACAGCACTTGGCAGCCTGAGAAACTCCTACCGGCCAGGTCCTTTGGCACATCCTGTGAGGTTTGGAAGGATGCTTTGTTTTCATGCACCCTTCATGCTGCCTTGAGTCTGTCCTGGCTCTTTACTTTTTGGTATTCTTTTTTTTTTTTTTTTTTTTTTAAATCTTAGAAATCAGTGTTTTGTGCTTTGTTGACGGTTTTGTCCTTGTACAATTGGTGTGTTTTTGCTATTTTAGTTATTTTGTTTCTTTCACAGAGTTCTTCTTTCTGTAGGAAAGTGAGAAGGGAGTGGGGTGGGTCACAAGTCCTTGGTCCCACCCAGGTAGGCTGGGTCAGAACAGCTTACATTCTGCCGAGTTACATCTCAGGAGGTCCTGTCTGATGCTTGCCGCAGACATCCCAGTTAGTTCTCTGTGTGCAAGCCTGTCCTCTCCACCCACTCTTGGAGCAGTGGGCTCACCCTTCTGCACCTGAACCACCCTGAAGATATGTTTACTTATTCTATCTTATTTTATTTTAAGACTTTATTTATTCGAGAGTGACAGAGCAAGTGTGAGCATGAGTGAGAGAAAGCACAGGCAGGCGCAGAGGGAGAGGGAGAAGCAGGCTCCCCACTGAGCAGAGAGCCTGATGTGGGGGCTCAATCCCGGGACCCTGGGATCATGACATGAGCTGAAGGCAGATGCTTAACTGACTGAGCCACCCAGGCCCCCTATTTACTTATTCTATTTTAAATGTAACCTTCATAAAAGAATATCTGAAAACTACATAAGAATAGAAAAAGTTATCCTTCTACTACTACATAAACACGAACTCCTTCGTTACCTCCTAATACGTTCCCAGCATATAGCTTTTTAAAAACTTAGATGAAGTAAGACTTATGCCATGTATTAAAACATTCTCTGTCTTTCCGTGCATATCACAATATGAACTTGGACATTAAGCTCAAAGGATGAAAGAAATGGTGCAAGGAAAGCCATGTCATGACATTCTCAATTAATGTGACTCATCACCATTTTCTGTGTGGTCACAGTCTTGGAAAATTTTCTGAATGCTTCCATCAAGTAGATGAACCCCAGTTCACTTTATCATTTCCCTGTTCTCAGTTACCTGGCACTTTGTGGGGTTTTTTTGTTTTTTGTTTTGTTTTGTTTTGTTTTACAGTCATAAATTATACTGTGATTAATATCCAAATATATAAATATAATTTTCTCTAATTAGGATTTTTTCCTTATGGTAACTCCCCATGGCTGGGTTCACTGGGCCAGAGGTGGTCCTTACAAAGCCATCCTGTGTCAGTTGCCCCCTGTCCCTGGGTCACCAGCCTGCACATGAGAGGGTCTGCACGATTTTCTCTGCTCACTGCTGTTGGCCTCTCAGGGGGACCTCCGGCAGCCACATACAAGTGTCAGCACAGTTCCTGTCCCCTCGCCAAGGCAGGAAGCAAGGAGCTGAAATCGGGGCACTGCTCTAAGTCAGAAGGCATGCTGGGCCTCCTGGCCTGGTTCTGGTGATCTGTCCCATGCTCATTCTGACAGCCAGACCTGCGGGGCTAGCCTCCCACACCCATGTAGCCCCGCAAAGCTTACAAAACCTGGTTTCCTCTCTCCTCATCTTGGCTCCTTGCTGCAGCCCTGTGGAGAGGGCCTGGCTGGGTCAGTGGTTAACCCCGTGTGTTTTGCTCTGACCGTCTCTCTTGAAGCAGCACCACCTAGACCGTGTCTGTAGAGTGAGGACCAAGGGGTCCTGCCTGCCAAACGTGCTGGCTCCGATTTTGGTCAGAGCTCATTTTCCTTCTGGTTGCCTTTTGTTAGGGTCACGTGTGGCTGGCTGGCCCGTCCTGCCACCGACAGGCAGCCACTCTGCTCCTCACTCACACCCACGGGGCTTTTCTCTCCTCATCTTAGTGCCGTTAGGTTTGCCATCGTTGGAAGCATCTTTATGCAATGGAAAAGAAAACATTTTTTGCCCAACTGGAGCTGGAGGGAGCGAAAAACAGCCCCTCAGGGCCCTCTGGCTTCCCTCTCCTGTGTTGTGCGGCTCCAAGGAGCTGTTGGCTCCAGCTGAGCAATAGGGGCCATAAAAATAGGCATCACCGAGCCTTAGCCACGACGCCTGGCCTGTGGTTGTGGTGTTCTCCCTGGGCAGGGAGGGCAGGTGCCCACATAGTCAGCAGTCGTTAAGGCTGCCCCAACGCCCTAGAAGTCTCTCTTGGAAGGTTCTTCTGTCCTGGGGTCAACCCTTTGCCAATAGACCTGCTTTGCCGAGGGTCTAG